ATATCTTATTTATCTAAATATATAAATTAGTATTAACATAAATTTAGTAAGTTTGTTTAAAAGGTATATCACAATATATATATTTACTAAACTCAGGTTAATTTCAAAAATTATTTTTCATTTTCAAAATTTGATAAAAAAATATGGTTTTAGTAATTGTAAATTGTTAAACTTATCAGCTATAATTGTCTTTTTCTTCAGAAATAAAGTTATATTTCAAAAAATTTAAAACAAGAGTTAATTTTCAAATTTTATAAAATAATTGGAATATTAAACCAAATCTCCCTATATTATTATCATGCTCTTTTAAAAATCTTTTAATTTCTAATACTACAAATTAGTGTGTCTTAATATCTTAGGATATGTTGGAACAATTAATATCTCAGGATCTTTGCCCATACATTTTTCATTTTTTGGACACAACCAATGCATCTATATGAAAGCATCATCATGGTGATGAAAAATATAAACAACCATAAGATCTGGTCAGATGTAAAACCTTAATGTCTTTTCAAATTTGTACTCTTTCTTCAGATATTCATCACGAAATAACACAAAAGGATAATAATAAAAAAAAATAGTACTATTTTGTATGATAGTATCTTACTGATTATTAATTACATACATGGCAATTAATTGTAAGAGCATCTCCAATGGTTTACACCATTTTTTATACCAAAAATGGTGTAACACCAAAATGGTGTTGGGTTTTACTCCAATGGTTTACACCAATTTTTACACCAAAATAAAATATTCTTAATAGATTCTCTTTTTCAATTCTTTAAAATTTGCAAATCAACCCCATTTATTTTTTTAAGTTTAAGAAATTATGAAATAAATTAAATTTAACATTTATTATATAAAGAAATACATTGTAACATATAAAATAACAAAATATACTAAGCTTTTGTTTAATTATTATCAAACATATTAGATTGTTTAACCATCATAATTTGTATATGTTTTTCATTAATTTTAAAGTTGATTAAAATTTAAAGGATTTTTTTTATAAATAAAAAATTTCAACACCAAAATGATGTAAACCCATTTTCTACACCAAATTTGGTGTAAAAAATGAATTTACACAATTTTGATGTTGAAAATAGTGTTGGGTTGGAAAAAATTTTACACTAAAAATCGATTTGGTGTACCATTGGAGATGTTCTAAGTTGTTTGTTTGAACTATTTTGCAACTCATGTAACAACTTGTTAATGCAGAGTTCTTTTAAAAAATATATATATATAAACACCAATTTACATGTATCTTAAAAAGTTTTTTTTTTTATTGAATCGGAATGTTTTTGAATGATCTAGTTACACATGTTAACAAACAATTTTGACTAGATGATTAATACACATAATTTGATATTACAAATACAAACAAATATTGGGAATGAATAATATAATTTTCTTAATTTAATATATTGGATGGGTAATGTTTTCTGATAGAGATTTTTATTATTTTGTATAATGAAAACAAAGCTATACATTAACAAAACAGTAAACACATACCAACAAACAAAGATTAGGAATTTAGTAGGTGATATAGAAAAACCAACAATGGTTTTGGTTATTAGAAAAACAAATAGATACAATAACATGTATCTAGAAACTTAACCCAAAAAGAGTTGTTATCTAGAAACAATAAATACATTTGGGATGAAACTTTCTCTTATAACATTATAGAAATGAGTATTTGTAGGTTTCTTCACCTCATGAAACTTGCTTTTTCATAGTTCTTAAAAGACAGTATTAGCAATGACTTTTCTAAACAATTTTGAGTATAACCAGTCAGCAAAACAGCGACGTCCTCACCTTTTAAAAGTTCCAATTTTGACTTTTGACCTAAACCATTTCTATGACGAGTAG